GACGGGCGGTCTATAGCAGACCTTAGCCACTAAGGGATTCGTTAACAAACTCGGCTTCTCTTAAGAGGGTTCATATCTAATCACTAACTTAGGCATCCTCGATGTTTAATCTAGGCACGAAAATCTTGCTTCTACTTCAACCTATAAGAATCGGCCGATCTTCATTGAGCAAGGACGGTGGATAAATATACACGGCAAAAATGTACTATAGCTTCCTCCTGACTTTCGGCCTAGCTATTCCGCGAATAATGGGGATTCACTTACCTTAGGACACGCATCAGGGCGGGTTTCTTTCCTACGATTTCGTCTATAGCAGTCGTTAATAATTTTCATTTTCATTCCTTCCTCTATTTTCTAATCTCTTTATAAAAGAAGGGCCTAGGAGAAAGTAGAATTTATATAGCCCTTCAGTGCTAATAGAATATACCATCAAGTTCTATAATGCTCTAGATCGGTTTGCCACAATTAGATGGCTAAGTCAGTAACAAGATCTGGAAGGTTCTATCTACGCCAGGGGAAAAGAAGAGTATATACCATACCCCACTAAATAACACTCAGTTTGAAGGCTAGAGCCTTATCAGTGGGGCACAGAATTAACAAAAGTGTGCAAATTAGTGAAACTGGTTTTGTACCTATATATAGCATATCCCCCGCGGAATAGTTATCCCATGGTCATATATTCCACAAGTGTAGATTCCCCTAGGTCCCGCATCCCTTAGGCCCAGAATCCCCTAGGAGAATTTATCCTCGGGTAGTAAGCAACCTTAAGGTAGGTCGCTCCTATAGGAGGAGGTCCCTAAGGATGCCATTTAACCGTAATAAAAGTGAAAGATAGGTATAATTATACTCCTTTCTCCACTTTGGAGTAGCCAAGTGTTCTCTTGCCGACTAATCCAAGTTAAGTCTTTCACTGTCCCCTCACGCCAATATTCTATTTTCGGTTCCGGTATCTCTGAGCCTATTAGCTATTATAGTCACTGAAAATGTGATAATAGGAAGTTTTCCTTTCTGCTTTACGCTGGAGAAGTATACTTTACTACACATCGGCGAAACGCCTATACTGTTAGCACGCAGGCTAACGTCTTAGCACTACGTAGGCGCTATTCGACGCTAAGCCTTCCTATCTCCGGGTTAAAACCGAATAACAGGATTTTTCCCGGACAGCGAATTTTAACTTATATGAAAATTAACGTAGTGCTAAAATTCAAAGGACATAAATTTTCTAGTTATTAAATATTCCCTAGTAGCTAATATTCTCCCCTCTCGAATTTTCCTACCTAGCTAATATTTCTTCTCCCTGATTTTCCCCCTCTCGAAATATTCTCCCTATCGAATTTTCTTACCTAGCTAATTTTCTAGCCCCCTTATTAGTTAGCGCGTTCTCGTAGTCATTCCGTAAACATAAGGGCACGGATATTCTATATAGTAGCTAACCAATACGATTGGTTTATTGTTCCTTTCTACCCCGTGAAGCCACTCACGGTTTGCCGGTTTATAGCAGTCGAAGAGTGCTAAGATATTAGCAATGTACTAGACGGTTAACCGCCTAGGCGTTTCGCTGATCGGTTTTACCTAGATTGAGGCGAACCGGAAACTATTCACAGAACTGTGATCTTATGTATAAGTATGGGCCTCCGACTATATAATAGTCTATGGATTCTCCCGGCAAATCGAGCTCCGCCTAAAAGAGCTAAGTATGACAAATCATCGATCTCGGCTTGGCCCATTGACCAGGTTGATCGATAGCCTAGCTATATAGCCTACCAGCGTACATCGAACATAGTCCTGGCTGTATAGCCCGCTAGCATACATAACCCGCTAGCATATGCGCGAAATGCCCGTATTACCAGCACGCAGTCCGCTGACGCTTCGCACTTTGGAACCGGTGGCTTACCTCCGTTCTAATTTTCCCATTGACCGAGCGGATTTACTAGTACTCGGAAGAAAACCTTCTACAGGGGAAAAGCCAAGGTTACTACATAGCCAGCCCAAGGTTTCCCTCGGCAGGGACGGCTAGCCCAGGGTTAGGTGTCTAAGTTACCCTAAGGTAAGTTGTACCTAAGAAAGTTCGTTCCTGAGTTTTAACGTCCTCGAGGGTATTTACCCTGAGGAATAGTTACCCCACGCTTATATACTCCAGCGAGAGTTTATTTTTGCGGTCTAGGGACCTAATAGCGATATACTCTTAATAGTATTTGTATATATGAAGCGAAAAACAGATTTTTTTTTTCTATATTCTAGCACTTAAACTGAGAATCAAGGTAATAATAAATAATAAATTATATAGTAAGGCCCGATAGATACAAAACTACATAGACAATATTATTTTAAAAGCTATCGATTCTATCGCTCTATCCTTTTACTACACGGAGGTCCTTTTTACTTCTTTTAACTGGTTTTGGATAGTAGGAGCCCTATAGGAGTTAGGAAAGTTTAAGCTACGGAGAGTTTAGAGAGACCGAGAGAATATACTAATTAAGACCCGAGGAATGACTAAAACCCCGATAAGTCCGTAGAGAAAATAAATACTTCTCCTGACTCTCGAATCCGTATACCTAAGTAGATATCCGCCCTACATATTTCGCTATACTATTATAACTTATTTTCTAGGGTCATCTTCCGCCGGTCTCTTTTCTGTCGAAATAATTTCTTCGTACTCGAAACCTTCGATTATTCGCGCGGGGTCTCCGCTATTATAAATATAAGAGAAAGAGTTAGATCGAATTAAAAAGGGAATAGTAGGTCTAATACTACGTATTTATAGTAAGCACTAGGGATGAAAAATGGTAAATGAAAAAATGTTAAAATGTCAAAGTGCGAAAATATGCCTTTTAGTTCCTCAGAAGGCCACGGTTTCCCCCTCGAAGACCATAATATAGTACCGTAATTGTTTTAGAGCTAATAAACCACGATCTTGTCTCTATAGCTAAGTGGTATAGTATAATAATCTAGCTAGTCTCCCTACTATACCGGAAGGTAAGCTAGAGGTAAGCTTAAGGTGAGAGAGGGAGGGTATAGTAATTGAAGCCTTAGACGCTTAACACATTTTTAATGTTATTGGTGAGGGTGGAACAAGCTAGCTAATCAATATTAGCTAATGAGCGACTCTCAACCCTAATTAGCTGATTATACGGAGTAAGTTAGGTTGGATTATCTGCGACACTTTCTTGGTCCCCTACGACTTCTAAAACGGTCCCCTGTAACTAAAGCGGATACTATACTACCGAAGTAGATGCCTATAATTACTAAAGCGGTACCTATGAGGAGCTACTAAACGGTTCACTATACCCACTACGACACGCCTTGTGTTTTACGATACGTTTTTAGCTCTCCAACACGCTTTTTGTTCTGCGATATCCTTTTGGTTCTTGCTTCCAATATAGCTCATAACTTATGTAGTATTGGTATTCGAGAACTGTCATAATGAATAGTGGTCGCTTTCAAACAGATGTTCACGATGCTAGGTACTTTCAGCCTGAAGAAGAAGAAGGAGAAGAAGAAGAAGAAGAAGTAGTAGTAGTAGTAGTAGTATTAGTAGTAGTAGTAGTAGTAGTAGTAGTAGTAGTAGTAGTAGTAGTAGTAGTAGTAGTAGTAGTAGTAGTAGTAGTAGTAGAGGACAACACTAGATTTGAGAAGATAGAGTAAGCGTGAGCATCATAAGTACAGTACAACAAAATTGAGAATCCCAACCAGGCAGACAGGATGGCAATGATTGCTTTTACCCTCCAGTCTTTCTTGCACTGGGAGTGTCGGCTGTCGAGTGGCAGATCGCTTCTGGTTACGTTACGGCGAGAAGTATGTCTAGAAGATAGTCTTCTATGATCACATAATGGCTGTAGAGTACCTGTAGAGTGCCGAGAGCTTGAAATCTCTGATTAGGTCCCGGACTAAAGACTCCGGCAAGAGTGAAGACTCCGGCAAGAGTGAAGACTCCAGCAGGATTATACAGAATCTGGCCAGACTGGTGACTCTGGCCGGACTGGAGACTCTGACCGGACAGGGGCCCCCCTGGACCTGTTGCCTGCGACACTGTTTTGGTCTCTGAATATGTTAAATACCGCCTTTCCCGACTTCTCATTTGGCTGGGCCCAAATTACCTAAACATGGATACCTAAGAGGCTCCTGATTGGTCCGTCACTGTTATCCCTTTCTCCACATTGGAGTAGTAACTTCATGCCAGGTATGAGAAAGAATACGCGGTTTGGGTGCATCAAACAACTATGAGCAGATTCGATCACGCCCGGTCGTTCTGTGAAGCCGAGAATATCATGAGGACCATTTTAAGCAGACATGGGTACTGTGTAGCTCGTAACAAGAGGCCAGTAGAGATATGAGATGGCTGGTTGGTCCTCAAAATGGCTAGGTGCGACGTGGCCCAAAGAGCAAGCTCTTGGAAGACTTGAGGAAATGAGCAGCCCGTCGTGTGTCTATCTTGAACTATGCCCACTGGAAGGAGGCACAGAGCGTATTTTATTTGTTCACTGCCAGTCCTTGCTTCTCCTTGGAGTAGCAATTTGAAGGGAATAGAAACACATCTGGGATAGGGACGCACTCGGGAAGGGGGCGATTACAGTCATTCTCGAAATCGCCTTGACTAATATACACTGAGACTCTCTTTCTCGGCCCCACTACCAAGGCCTTATTAGCGTAGGTCGTTTATTGAGCGGGCCGCGTTTAATGAGGGGCTCAGTAAAATGCGCCGCGTACTCCGTATAGTACAGTAATATACGACGTAATATTACATTACGCGTATGAAAAGAAAGCCTATGGAATTCTATGGAATTCCATGGTGGTATAAGGAAGGCTACCTTGCGCCAAGGAACTTGATGATCTGCGCGACCTCTTTCCAACCGCCTTCGCCTATATCTTCCCCACATCCGTCCCTTCCAACCATCTCCCACCTCTCAGTCATCTCCTCTGAAGTCCCATGATTCCTGCAGTCCTTCTCGAATCACCGTCTTCTTGTCCCTACCTTTGGGTTAGCTTTTGTTTCCATCCAGATGGATGGACTTTCGTCTGCAGCCAGCGTTATTGCCGTCATTCAACTTACGGGTAGCATTGTAACGATATGTGGGGGCTATATTCAGGGGGTAAAAGATGCACGAGACGATATAATTTTCTTACAACGGACGGTTGTAGGTCTTGGAAACGTTCTCCAGAAAATCGAAGAACTTCTCCAAGATCCTCGCGGCACAAAGCTATCCACATCCTCCACGCTAGTCAATAATATTAGCGATTGCCTCTCGCACCTCAGGGCCTTGGAAGAGAAGATTGAGCTAGGGAGAGGAAAGCGAACGATGAAGAGGCTCGGTATTCGAGCCTTGAAATGGCCCCTGAAACGCACAGAGGTAGAGAAGGCCGTGCAAGATCTCGAGAGATGCAAATCATTATTCACCTTATCCCTGCAGGTGGATCAGACGTATGCATTTCGATTATATTACCTGCGTACAGTTGGCTTATATCTTTCCAGGGCACTCATCGCCAGTACATCCCAGACTCTCAGCCTTATCGACAGGAATATGGACCTCGACAAGCTCCCCATTGCGCATGGGGCCGAGTATGACTCATACATGGATCAGCATGAAGATGTCTGTCTCACCGGCACCAGAACCGAGCTCCTCCAACTGATCGCTGAATGGTCTGTGTCGCCTCAGGGAAAATGCATTTTCTGGTTAGAAGGTATGGCCGGGACGGGGAAATCGACGATCTCCCGGACTGTGGCAAAATCATTAGACCAAGCCAAGTCACTAGGAGCAAGCTTTTTCTTCAAGAGGGGCGAAGGGGATCGGGGGAATGCTGTAAAGTTTTTCCCGACAATCGTAAAGCAATTGGCGCTTAGGTTCCCTGAGCTATTGCCTAGTGTTCGGAAAGCAATCAATGATAACCCTGAAATTACCAGGAAGTCACTGAGAGGGCAGTTCGATAGCCTACTTCTTCAGCCACTCCTGAGCCTCGAGCTATCCAATTTGGAAATTCCAACTGCAGTTATAGTGATCGACGCACTGGATGAATGTGACCATGATGATGACATACGCGCCATACTACAATTACTGCCACGGCTGCGTGAGGCAAAGGGCTTAAGCCTACGAATTTTCTTGACCAGCAGGCCTGAACTACCCATCCGTCTTGGATTCTCAGGTATTGCAAACCACGACTATCTGAATCTGGCTCTTCATGAGATTCCTGAGGCAGTTACCGCGCACGATATATCGTTATTCTTTCGCCGCCGACTTTCAAAAATCCGGAAGGAACGGTTCCTCCCTCCTGGATGGCCTGGGGACATGGATATTCAAGCTCTTGTTGGATTATCTGTCCCTTTATTCATTTTCGCCGCTACCATATGCCGCATGTTTGAGGATCCACAGTGGGACCCTGTGGATAGCCTCACAGGGATCCTCACCCATCGAGGTGAGGGATCGCAGCTGAATAGAACGTATCTTCCCGTGCTAAATCGACTTCTGGCAAACCAAACCGGGAAACGGAAAAAGCAGCTAGTTCAAGAATTTCATGAGGTGGTGGGTACAATCGTGATGCTTGAGAGCCCACTCTCGATTACCTCACTTTCGAGGCTCATTGCCGTCTCTGAACGACTGATCGACTTAAGACTGGATTCATTTAAGTCGGTGATTCGTGTTCCAGATGATAAGACAATCCCAGTGCGGCCTTTCCATCTATCATTTAGGGACTTCCTCTGTGATCCGGAAACTCGTGAGAAGACTTCACTATGGGTGAATGAGAAAGAAATACATCAAAGACTGACTACGCAATGCCTCTCTATGTGTGGTAATTTGCGACGGAATATCTGTGGACTGCCAAGAGATGGGACTCAGCGCGCGGATATTAATCCTCAGACCATTGCCCAATGCCTATCCCCAGAGCTGCAGTACTCTTGTCGCTTTTGGGCACAGCATCTAGCTCAAAGTAGGGACCGTAATTCGTTGATGCATAATGCTTTCTTGTTCCTGCAGAAGCATTTCCTGCACTGGATTGAAGCAATGAGCCTTCTCGGCCTTGGATCTGATGTTGTTGGGATAATTAATCTGCTACAGTCAGTCGCTCATGTAAGTTTCTATAGAAGCCCTTTATGGTTTCTCACACTCACTCATATAGGGAGACAAGGATGACGAAATTTCCGAATTCTTACATGATGCAAAGCGATTTATACTTAGAAATAGACAGATTGTTGATACCGCGCCCCTCCAGCTTTATTCCTCAGGCCTTGTGTTTACACCCAAAATGGCGATAATCCGGAGGCAATTTGAAGGAGAGCTCCCCGAGTGGATATGCAGATTGCCTGAAATTGAGCAAAACTGGAATGCGGAACTGCAGACCCTTGACGGCCATTCAGATTGGGTTGAGTCGGTAACTTTCTCTCCTGATGGCCGATTGCTAGCGTCTGGCTCTGTTGATAAGACAGTTCGGCTCTGGGATGCAGCCACCGGCTCGCTGCAACAGACTCTTGAAGGCCATTCAGCTAAGGTTGAGTCGGTAGTATTCTCTCCCGACGGCCGCCTGCTGGCGTCTGGCTCCTACGATACGACAGTCCGGCTCTGGGATGTCGCTACGGGCGCTTTGCAGCTGACTCTCGAAGGCCATTTAGGTTGTATTAATTCAGTGGCATTCTCTCCTGACGGCCACGTACTAGCGTCTGGCTCAATTGATAAGACAGTTCGGCTCTGGGATGCCGCCACCGGCTCGCCGCAACAGACCCTTGAAGGCCATTTAGCTGAGATTGAGTCGGTAGTATTCTCTCCCGACGGCCGGCTGCTAGCGTCTGGCTCACAGGATTCAACAGCCCGAATCTGGGATGCCGCTACTGGCGCTCTACAGCGCACCCTCGAATATCATTCAGGCTCAGTCAGGTCGGTAGCATTCTCTCCAAACGGCCGACTGCTAGCTTCCGGCACTTGCCATAATATAGTCCGGCTCTGGGATATAGCTACGGGGGCTCCTCAGCAGACTCTCGAAGGCCATTCAGGTTATGTTAATTCAGTGGCATTCTCTCCCGATGGTCACATACTTGTATCTGGTTCCCAGGATACAACTGTCCGAATCTGGGACGCTGTTACGGGAGCTCTACAGCGCACCCTCGAAGGTCATTCAGGCTCAGTTAGGTCGGTAGCATTCTCTCCGAATGGCAGACTGCTAGCTTCCGGCACCTGGCATAATATAGTCCGGCTCTGGGATATCGCTGCGGGGGCTCCTCAGCAGACTCTCGAAGGCCATTCAGGTTGTGTTAATTCAGTGGCATTCTCTCCCGACGGCCACGTACTGGCGTCCAGCTCTTATGATAAGACTGTCCGGCTCTGGGATGCTGCCACAGGCTCGCTGCAACAGACCCTCGAAGGCCATACAGACATAGTTTGGAGGGTAGTATTCTCTTCTGACGGCCGATTGCTGGCGTCTAGCTCCCAGGATCAGACAGTCCGGCTCTGGGATACCTCCACAGGCGCTATGCAACAGATCCTTAGAGGCCATTCGCGTCGGGTTTGGCCCGTAATATTCTCTCTCGACAGCCGAATGCTGGCATCTGGCTCTATTGATAAGACAGTCCGAATCTGGGATGCCACCACTGGTGCTCTGCAACAGACTCTCGAAGGTCATTCAGCTGAGGTTGAATCGGTAGCATTCTCTCCCGACGGCCAGCTGCTAGCGTCCAGTTCCCACGATATGACAGTCCGGTTATGGGATGTCGCCACGGGCGCTCTAAAACAGACTTTAATGGTTGAAGGAGTAGTCACCACCTTGGAAATTTCTGAAGATGGTTCAAGTCTGAGCACTAATCTTGGATCCTTTAATATTCAGTCCAGCTTGGGCAATCATACCCCCATTCCACCTCTGGGGAACACCAAGGTATTTATACGGGAGAACCAGTGGATTGCCTTTGACGGTGAAAAAGTCTTATGGCTTCCCCATGAATACCGAGCCCAATGTTCGGCTGTCAATGATAATACTCTTGCTGTAGGACATATATCGGGGCGGATCTCATTCATGGCATTCTCATAAATAGCCGTCAATGAAATATTTCCGTTTCTTTTGCTGACTTTTCTAATCTCTACTTGGGGAAAAGGGTAGGAAGGATTAAAGAATATATATTTCTGTTTTATATAGTAGATCCCGACCGCACTATGTATCAAACAGAACAGTTAAACGCCAACTGCTGATGAGTGGTGTGACCACGTTCCTCATTCGCTCAGTATGAAAATTTTTAGCTTTTGGCTTTGGCCTTGGAGATTACCGCTGGCTATTATCTCCTAATCCCGCAAGAGGAGATACAAAAGCAGCAGCAAAAATTGGGTCACATTCTACAGAGTCAAACGAATCGGCAACAGCAGCACGCTAGTAGCAACAACAACAGCAAAACTATCTGAACATGCAGAACCAACAATCATACCAGGCGCAGCTTTTGCGGGCTCAATTTTCTATAATGCAGATGGTGAAGCAGCAGGATCAATTGCTCCTGTCTCTCCGTCGGAATGGTTCGCGCAATCCGGCAACTATACCAGTGTAGATGCGTACCGGAATCCTCGACAAGCTCGAGAGTAAGGTCAACAGGGACGTGGTCAAGTTGGCGGAGGAGCAGGATCCCAATGCGCAGATTCCCCACCACGAGGATCTGGGGCTGGGATTTGATGAGTCAACACTTCAACCTCATTTCGCTTTTTCTTCTTGGCTGCATTTTCCTTCTCTCTTCCCATGTACAGTCAAGTGCAAACCCAGCCTCACTATTTTCTCTTACTTCTCTTCATCATAGTCGTAACAGCCAACGCACTAGCTAGTGCCATGCTTTGTTGAATGCCATAATCATCATGGCTAACGAGAGAGCTGGAAGACATTTTCTTGGGCGTACGGTAGCAACAGGCTAAATGTTAGTGAAAATTGGTTGAGGCTTACACCGTCTGGAGCTGTTGAGGGTATTATTCGCCTGCAAATAACCGCCAACTAGTCAGATGGTTGATGGCTGCTAGTATCACTTGATGCTCTCTGGGCCAAAGAGATAGCTCGCAAGTAATGACTAGCACACAACGCACAGGAGGAGATAGAGGTCCAGCAGATCATCAAATTCTTTGGTGCCAGGTGGCTTTCCCCACATGATCAACAGAGATCCACCATGGAAATCCATAGGCCTTCGTTTCATACTGTACGCGTTTGTAATGTTACTGTAAAATACATAGGGCATTTCACTGAGCCCCTTGGTTTAACGCGGCTCGCTCAATAAATGGTCTGCGCTAAGGCCTTGGCGGTGGTGCGGGGAAAGAGAGTCTCAGTGAATGTTGGTCAAGGCGATTTCGAGAATCACTGTACTCCTTTCAAGGAACATGCAATAACGAAACAAGAATCCGGGAATGGATAGGTTAACCTCCGTGATTTACGGTACTTTCTCCGATCTAGCCCGAGTGCTCGGAGCGGGTCGGACTTCGACCTTTCTTGAGGTTGAAATGATTTTCTTGTCAGATCGTCAAGAGACCTGGGGGACGTGAAACTATTAGGAAATTAGACTTTGGGTGGAGAAGGGCTTGTCAGCTAGCCAATAATTTCAGTCCTACTATCCGGAGTACTTTAACCAAGTTATGCACCACTTTTACACGGCCCTTCTTTTAAAAGCCTGATGAATTGAAGGGTTTGGTCAGAGTTTCGCCGCCCGCTTTCATCACGTCGACTAACACGTTGAACCTCCACATTAATGGTGAACTAATTCCATTTCCTCAACATTTTTTAATTTTATTAATTGCGGTCAGATTTGTCTATTTTCCTTGTCATTTAAAATGTTGAATTCGTTTGACCAACGCCCTGCTTTCCTACTGATTCTCGAAGTTTGACCAGCCTTTTTTCTTCAGCACACACGGTTTGGTTCGCAGGTTAATGGCCTTTTGAACGCTGTCTCAACGCCTCGTCTCAACGCCTCGACTTTTCAATGTTCAATTATTGAATATATCTCTCTTAACTGTGGCACCCGGTTGGATTTCCCCCTTTCTTGGTGGCTTTGATTAAGTGATCAAAATTATTCTCACTTTTTGGCCTGTTTTGCCCAGAACAAACCGACCTACCTAATATATATTAGCTCCCTTATGAGTAGGGTACGGAGTAGATAAATAAATATTCAAAATCTTAAACAACGCCACTGATTCTTTGCAGTTGTCTCGCCCTCGAGTACTATCACTAAAAATGGATATCGTGGTTTTTAAACCACTGGGATTTTAGAACTGTAGTTTTAATACTTCTGTGGTTTAAATACTGTCACGGTTGATCTCCGGTAGCAAAATAGTATCCACGGGGACCATTTTAAGCAGACCAGTAGAGATGTGAGCGATGTGGCCCCAAGAGAAGGCTCTTGGAAGACTTGAAGAAATGAGCAGCCTATCTTGTGTCTATCTTTGAACTATGCAGAGCTTCTTGTAGGCCTCGGTATAAAACCTTTCTTCCGAGAGCCTAATCCTCCTCAGAGAATCGTCTTGAGAGGAAATTAGTCCTGTATGGCCTAAGTGGAGAGCAAATGCCAAACAAGAGAGACGACGTCATAGGAAAGCCCTCTTCGTTCTTTATATGTCCTATGCCAAACTCGGCTTTAGACAGGTAGAAGGCCAATAGTGTTGCTTAGAAGGCACAACCCGCTGCGGAGCTCGATTCAGTGGCTCACTCCGCGCTCCTAATGAGGAAACCCCCTATTGGCCCATTGTCTTCATCGCCTGCTGAAGTGGGTCACAGCCGAGACACAACGACCGCAGTGGTCTCTTATTCGGGAATGCTTGCTGTGGCGAGACCCCTGCGGACACTAACAGTGGCTGAATCTTAAGTAAGGAGGTCCTGATATTCTGGGAGGTGCAAGTTCGCAGATTGGTGGCCAGTGTGAGGTGTTCGCCATTTATAGTGTTGCCTTTCACTAACCCCCCAAACTCGGGGGGAGGGGGCAAAGTCTGGGGATATGGGGCACCAGTAGCTTTAGGAAAGCCATCTTCTGGCTAGTGTGGCTTTCTATCCATACTAGAAACATATCGAGAGCCACAAGGCCAGTCATGTAATAGATCTGTAGATCTGCGTCCAAGCAGACTTCAAGTCTGGAGATGTGGGTCGGTGGTTGGGAAGCTGTTGTTACGATTCGTAGATGCGGAAAGTCTTGCGAACGAACTGGCGAGAAGTGTTTGCATGGGAGTTGCCGAAAAGGGAGGGCCATATAAAGGCAATCCCTTTGGGTGGATTAGAATCTTCCTTCTCTTCTTCTTTCTCTAGATTTAGTTGCCTCGTTTAAACAGTACCGAATTGATTCATAATCTTTTCGCTTGACCGTAACATACAACTAAATCTCACCCTTTATCTTTCCTTCTAGTCACTGGCTGAGCGAAGAGACGCGTACATACGTGCTCTCTAGCTACCTAGTGACTACACCACTCAACCGAACGAACCTACGAAGAACCGTTGCACCAAGATGGCTAGCAACGTGACCGAACGCCCCCGCCGTGGTGGCAGAAGATCCCTGACCCTCGATGAGCAGCCCGACGCTGAGAAGATCGAGGTGACCGATACCGACGAGCTGATCCGTTGGATCCAGAAAGACCCCGAGACCGCATAGAAGGTCTTGTGCAACCGCATGAAGGATATCGAAGACCTGAAAGGCTAGATTGCTGCCCTGACCGCCGACCACCAAGAAGAGATCGTCGACCTCCGTGAGCAGATTGTCTTAATGACCGAACGAGAGGATTCCGTTGCCCGTGACCAGTAGGTGGAGGAGGAGTACGCCCGAATACGAACTGAAACTGAAACCCTCCGGAAGGAGCGTGATAGCCTGTTGACCGTGATGAATATGATGCGAACCGACGATAACCGTGTGTTGCGAGAAGCCTCGGTGACCCCTTCTACTGCTGGTAATAGGAAGTCAACCAAGATGCCTGACCCTCCTATGTTTAACGACGGAAAGGATGTGAAGTTCAAGGATTGGAAGACCGAGATGAAGCGTAAGCTTCTATTAAACGAGGACCACTATCTAACTTCTGTCTACCAGCTCGCGTACGTGAGTAGTCGCTGCGAAGGAAAGGCACTCCGACATATCAACCCCCGAATGCAAGAAGACGCTACCGCCGCGTACCGAACTGCGCAGGACGTTTTCGACTACCTACAGAGTGTCTTCCACGACCCGAACCATTAGCAAGTTGCCCGTGACGATTACCTCGCCCTAAAGATGGAGCCTAAGTAGGATTTCGGTGATTTCCTGGCCGAATTTATCTACCTTGCGGAGGAGGCCGAACAGCCTGTGGATCTTCGAAAGCGTGATCTGTACCGGAAGCTTCCTGCCCTCCTCTAGAACTAGGTGATGATTGATGTAGGTCAAGGCTCTGTTACCCTTGAAGAGTTCGTGCAGAAGTGTCAGATTGCTGCCCGTTTAATTTCGTAGCAGATCGCCAATCGTGCAAGTAACCGTAACCCGAACCGTACGAACCCTTCGAATCGTACTCCAAGCGACCCACAGAACTCGAAACCCTTAAACCGCCCTGATGATAAGGAGAAGGCTACCCTCCTAAAGGAAGGACGTTGCTTTGTGTGCCGCGAATAGGGCTATATCTCTCGAAACTACCCTACTAAGAAGTCTACCCCCATAAGTGCTGCCGCCGCCGCTGAACCGAAGCGAAAGGATTCGAATTTGAAGAAGACGGACGACCTGAAAGCCGCGGAAGAGAACGATAGCGATTCGGGAAAAGAGTAAACCTGGGGCAAGTCTCCATCCTAGGTTCGATGGTGTTAAAGGTGGATTTACGGAAACTGTTGTCCTCTGCAGAAGATAGTTTAACCTTTTAAGCTAGAGTAGCTATTAATGGATGAATAGTGAGCGTTTCTTGCCTTACAGATACCGGAGCAGATAGGTATATCTTTATCGACTACGACCTTGTGAAAACAATGATTAATGGCCTAGGCCTACGGACCAGAAGACTCCCCCGAGAGTGTCCGATCACTAGGTTTAACGGATCCTTACGAGAACCGATTACCCACGCAGTGAAACTCTCGTTGATGATTGA